TCAGAAAACTTGAAAGGGTGCTTCTGTTAAGTTAGCTTAAAATTTTATGAGAAGTGGTTGCATGTGCAAAAGGCATCATTGATTTCTGAGAAATTTAGTTGATATATGGCAGACTGTTCTCATGTATCCAGGCAATTGTCATCCAGAGGGATGGAAAAAGCTTGCAAAGTTAATCTGCTTTCTAAAAACTGTTCAGAAAAATAATCTCATGCTGCAGTCTTGTTAAATTTTTGAGGTGAGGGGGGACTGTCCTCTATGAAGGAATGAGAGGCAGGATTACTTGCAGAAAAGGAGTCTGGAGAACTGGAATGGTAATTCTTCAGCAGCAGTAAGTCATGGAGGCAGTGCATATTTGAAAGTGACTACTTGATGCCTGTTCAAGGTAGTCTTTCTCATCAACTCTTTTTGTAGCTCTCAAGTCAGGCTTTTACTTGATCTTCTGCATTGAGTGGTTGGTGGTTCTTCCTTTCTCTAATGTGGAGCTTTTTCTATGGAGACAAGGGTGAAGCTTCCTCAGAGACAGATGTTGAGGCAGATGATGGTGAAGAGAAGGTTGATGTATTTTGACAGGAGGCCCTTTGGTAGAGGATGAACTAAATGCTTCACAATATTTTTAAGAAAATAAAGTAATCAGTCTGGGAGCCAGTGGCAAAAGTGTTGAGCAGAAAAAGGGGTTTCAGGAGGAGATAACCATCATGGAGAAAATGTAAGTTAAAACTGATTTATGTCTTATTGTATCTTGGCAATAAGCAAAATACAGCATAGTTGAACACTTTATACTGTGAAGACTCATTGAAAGTAAATTAGGAAGGAAAAGCCTACCTTTTCCATTTTCCTGTCAGTAATAAATTTCATCTTCTCTCCCCTCCTGTTACTTGCTTCTCTGCACCTTATGTATCTGACAGGTGACTTTAGGTAAGCACTGTCTCTTCAATAATCATTGCTGTCTTTGGTATTTGCCATAAAAGGCTGATGGGCTACTCATGCCCTGAGTGTACTTAGTATAGAAGAACAGCTGTATTTTGGTAGGTTTTTTAACACAGCTGCAGAATTTGGATGTGGCTGCTGAGTAAATGAAGGAAGGGCTTCATTTGATTGCTCCTGTCCCTGGTAGCCTGGGGTAGTAGGTAAAGACTAATGCATGAGGCAGAACTTGCTGGCTGTGCTGAAGGTGTAATACAGTAGAGCTACAGTAGAACATGTTTCATTTGAAGAAGTAGCAGTTTCAGTTTTCAGATAAAATAAGCTTCTCAGAACTCTTGATTTCAAATATATTACTTAGAGAACACTGAGAAGACAGGAGTTTCTGAAACTTGGAGAAAGATGTGTTTATGAGATGATGGAACAGGGAAAATTCACCATTTTTGCCAAAACAGGATTTGTGTTTTAACTGCTATGTGTTAATAGAATGAATGATCATATTTTCAAATGGTAAAATGCTGATCATGTGTTTAAAATAAAATTGCCACATCAGCAGCTGGCTCAAACATCACCTTTCAAGTAAGGCTTATATAATCTCTGAAATAGCTGGCTTTTTTTTTTGTTTTTAAATCACTCCTTCATATTTGAACTCTGCTGATTTTAAGAAAAAGTGTTTAAAGTGAATCTGCAGAAATTGTTTGGTCTTGGTGTGTTCTGTGTATATATTGTAATTGTGTAAATTACAGTATATTCCTTGTTTTCTCACGTAATGATCACATTTAGGTGGGAGCGTCACACAGTTCTATTCTTTGAAATAGTTTGTGAGTCTTGCAAGCACAGGGTGAAGGTTTTCCCTCCAAGATGTCAGGAATGGAAAGAGGATTTGTTTCATTGTGTGATCAGAGCAGTCACACAGGAGCATTTTGCCAGATCTCTAGTGTCTATAGCACGCTGGTGAGTGTATTCCAACTTTTTTAGCTGATGCCTGAATATGGCAGTGGACATTGCAGTAGGAAAGAATCTGACCATTGTTAGCTGACACTGGCATAATTGCTGTGCCTTCTTCAGTAAATGCCGTTCTTTAAATGGCATTTTTTGTTATAGAGAGGCAAGCTTGTTATGGAGTGATAATTTCTCTTTCCTAGAATAAGTAATATATTTAGAAAAATGGACAGGAGGTTGGTATATACATAATCCTTTCATCAGGTCTTAAAAAAAAAGCTATGCTATGTATTGGTTAGCATCAGCAACAGAAGTTCTGTCATCTTTATTTGATATATCAAACCAGAGGCATCTGTAGAAGCTTGAGCACCTCAGCTCCACTGTTGATGTTGTAATTAGTGAGACATTTCAGTTATTAGAAACCCATCTGTGGTGGTTTCAGAACTGACAGTATTATTTTAAATACACATTTCATGGTCTAGTTTAAGAGGTACTTCTGCTCTGAGATGCAGAACACTTGAGGTAAAAATGTAGATGTGAATTTATGATCCACTCAGAGATGTAATCTAGAATGATTGAATAAGTGGTCATGGGAAGCAAAACATTAGAACATGATTTATCCAAAACTTGTTTTACATGTATTCATGCTTTACTTTCGAAGTATAAACATATGCTGAAAGCTTTTCTGTAACAATTGTGTTCTTTTCTGAGGCAAAATAATGAGGCAGTGAGTAGGATTCTAGCATTTTTAAGGTAATCTCGTAAAGCTCTGTCTCACTTAAAGCAAATGGGGTTTCGGTAAATCTTTTACCTGTGATGTTTTGGATTCAAACTGTCTCTTACTCTGATATCAGTGCATAAATGGATGTGGGATCTGAATTCCTGCCATTACCTTTAAAATTGAAAGAAAAATGTGTGCATTGTATTATTGTCATTTAAAGTCTAGTACACTTTGATCTGGAAGACCACTGGATTTGAATTTCAGCATTTGCATATATAAACAAATCATCACTTAATTTTTTTAATACCCAGTGATTTTTTAAATTCGGTATGACAAGGAAATATCTGCTCATAAAGAAAAGCAGATAAATTGGTTGCAAGAAGATAAAAGGTTTAGGTAAAGCAGTTTTTGAGCTTACTAAAGGCACAGAGTTGCATGTTTTCTAGTGTCAGCCTTTCTTAGCTTCCAAAATGTCTGATAGAATATGTGCAATTTAAGAATCATGTAGTGGCATGAAAAATATGTCTTGAAATATCCTTATTTTCTTGTTAAATTTTAGTTGTTATTTAAAATGTTTAATCATAACTAAATTTACTCATAGGCCTTGTTGAAATGACAATTCTTGTTTAGTAAATCTCCTATATTTCATATATACATTATTTTAAGAGAATAAGAGGTATAAAACCATTGCAAACTGTTGCCCATTGTCTTTTATTATACTTTCAGATTAGATTTCACTTGCCATTTTATTCTTTGTCATTTGTTGTTTGTGGATAGCTTCAGACATCTAGTACAATTTTTATCAGACCTTGCTGTTTTTCTATCTTTGCCTTTTTTACATTTCTTGTAAGTTCAGCCCTCTTTAAGTCTCTGGGAAATTTTGTTTTGCAGAACAATGAGATTGCACTTGTTTTCTGTTTAGGAATTCACAAGAGTTTAGTTTTAAAAAATCATTTAAACACTTAATAACTTAATTATGTTACACTGTTGGAGATGAGTGTATTGTCATAAGCGTTTCAGGAATCAGGGAGGTATGGTAATCCACGTACTTGTTAACACCTTCAAAGAGCTCTGAAATATTTGTGAGATCTATCTTGGTTTTATAAAGAGCCTGTTTATGTTGCTGTTCTGCTATATTCTGTCCAGCTGTCTGGTGCTTCTGTTTTCCTCTGCTTTAGTTGCACACAAGCTTTAATTTTCTATTTCATAACTCCTGAATTTCCCTTTTATCCTTTCTGAAGGACTGTCTGATACGCATTCCTTTGGAACTAGCTTGGATGAAAGGTTATATGCACTGTGGTTGGGCAGTTCTGTACTTCAGAAGTGTTGGATCTCTCTCATCTGATTTCAGCAATTTGGTGTATCAAGGTGGCCTTCTGTGCTGACATTTAAGTGAGAGACAGTTTCTCAGGCTTGCCCTTTCTTGGAGAGGCTGTGTGTTCAGCTCTTCTAGATCTTCTTTGGACACTGTTCAAGTGTTTTGTTTGTTCTTTGAATAACTGGTTGTTTTAGCCCATATCAATTAAATGTTTACTCTTTCGTAATAACAAGGTTGTCCTCTTGGATAGAACATAATAACAGCCAATGATGAATCAGAACCAAAGATGCATTTACTTAGTACAGTAGTCTTTTTTGACAGAGGACAATAGTAGACATTCTTAAAAAATAAGAATGGATCAAGAAGATTATGGTTCCCTGTAATGCTTTCTCACCATCTTTTATTCTTAGGTTGATCAAAATACCTGTACATACTGCATTATCAAAAAAAAAAAAAAAAAAATTAACTTCCCAGAATCCCAGAATGGTGGGGGTTGTAAGGGATCTGTGGTGGTCATCTTTTCCAAAACCATGGCTCTGTCATCTAGAGCAGGGTGCCCAGGACCATGTCCAGAGGAGAGTTCACAACTTCTCTCAAGCTACCTGCAAGTTACATTAATTTTATAATGAGACATAATTCAAGTTAAAGAACTAACAGATTGTTTATTTTTGTACAAAATTCCCTAGATAGCAATGTAATCAGTATATCTTAGGACTTACAAATAAGTGATTTTCTAGTGTTAAAATAATAGATTCCTTTAAATAGCTAAGTAACTATTACTTTCAAGTTAATATGATGGCATCCAAAGTGTAAACTACTGGAAATATCTAAATTTTTTACCTGTCCTTTTCATTCAAATATAATTTATTATATCCTAGCTGTGATATGTACCTATACAGCACAAATACTTTTACATGTTCAGCATAATAAAATTGTTTAGGATTTTCTGCAATATGTAATCTAAATTTAAGACTAATTGTGCAATTAATCAAAGCAGCTCCTCATATGAAATACTGCATTGTGATTTATCCAATGTGTTCTTATATGCCACAATTAATATTTTTTTTCAAATTAAAAATGTAGTTGTATCTTTTTCAGGGTTCAGCTGATCCCTTAAACAGTGCTTTCCACCTGACATACAACATGGTATTGAACTTACTTCGAGTGGAGGAAATTAACCCTGAATACATGTTAGAAAAATCATTTTATCAGTTCCAGCATTACAGAACTATTCCAGAAATAGTGGAAAGTAAGTATTGCTGCATGTTCTCATGTGAGTAGGCGTAATACACAGTAAAGTTGGGTATATTTATTATGCTTTGTTATGCTCTTAAGAGTTTTTACCTGTGCAGTTTTGTCTTCCCTGCCAACATTTGCCAGTGCACTATTTGTTGCCATGTTATAGTTTCAGTAATTTCCTCTTGTTCTTAGGACCTATGCTGATACGTTCCATCAGTTTATGAAGAGAGCTTTCCTCTGTGAGTCATACAAGAATGATTGTCACATCACTAAATTATAGGGTGGGATGAAGGAAGAACAATTTAAAACTTCCCATGGCTCATTCGAGATGCAGGGAAAAAAAATCTTATGGAAGAAAATCTTTCACCTTTTCGTATCTCAGTACAAGCTGTAAAAAGAACTTAAGTGCACTGCATTTAAGAGTAGTATAGGTGAGAAATACTTAATTATAATACAGAGAAAAATTCCGAGAGATCTGGGACTTTTAATTGCACTCCACTGAGTAAGTACATGTTGACCAGAGGGAGGGTTTCAGTTATCTTTCTGTTAGTTTGCAGGTGTAGTAGTAGTTAAATATAGTATCTATTTCCCTCTTCCAGTTGGCATGTCTGGATCTTTATTCTGTCATTCCAGCATTGATGTTTAAATAGAAGAATGGAGCTGAAGAACATTTTTCATAGTTCTTGGACAGTTTCAGTTTAGGCACCATACTGGGCATTAGAATTTTGTAATCCCTTCAGCTGCAATTAAAAACACAAAGGAGAGAATTGGCTACTTAGGCTAAGGAAGAAAATATGCCATGAGTATGAATGGATGGCTTATTTCTTTTAAAAATTGGTAGGTGAAAATAAGGAGCACTTCCCCGAGTTGTCTCTCAAGTCCCAGTGAAGTGGGACTTCCAGGCCACTTACAAGCCTTCAAAAACAGCATGAAGAGGATGAGTTGGTAGAGAGGAAAAAAAGATTTTTTTATAGTCTGTTCTTAGTTTTTGTTTGCTGGTGATAATACCAGAATAAGAGAATGAATCATAATGTTTACAATAAAAACTGATTTGCTTAAATAAGGCATAAAAATGTTGGAGGAAGAAAATACTGATTTTCAACTGATAAATCAGAGCCTAAAACAAGTTAGGAGGACCATCTTCTAACAGCTTTCCTCTTGTTGAAACATATCTTTTTAGGAGATATGTTTGAGCAATCTTATTTTTGTAGGAGGAGATAAAAAGCAGTGGTAGATCTTTCTACAAAATCATTGCAAGTTTTAATGTGGCTTCTGTGCAAACCTAGATCAGTTATCCCTGGATAATTGGGTGCCAGCCTTTTCCAGTTTCTCAAGCTTGTTTATTTTAAGAAAATAACACTGGTATTTAATTCAGTGGACAAATTTACAGATTTCTAGCTTTCCAGAGAATGGATTATCGTAAGTAAAAAATTAGTACTAGAAGTGGTCACAAAATATTAATCATGGAGATCTGAAAGTGAAACACTGATTCCTTAATCTGTGTGCAGCTATTGATTTTCATGACATTTTCCTTTTCATTATAGGAGTCAATAATCTGGAAGCACAGTACAACAAAATTGTAATTCCCAATGAAGAAAATGTGGTGATATACTACAGAATCCGCCAGCAGCTTGCAAAACTGGGTAAAGATATTGAAGAGTATATTCACAAACCAAAGTACTGCTTGCCCTTTCTACAGCCAGGAAGACTAGTAAAGGTAATTTGATTTTTCTTTTGTTTTGTTTTTCATTTCTACCTATTTGTGAAATCTGCAAGGTTCATTTATGTCTGCTAGTTTACCTACATATGTCATACTTATGCAAGCACCAATTTTGACTTGAGTTTCTTTGCTAAGCATTCAGTAATGCATTAAAATAAATACTGTTTTCATGATTATTAGTAGTCCAGGACTGCTATTGTAAATACCAAAAATATAAAATGTTGTGCTTGCCAGGATGTTGTTATATATGTTACGTTATAATATCTTGTAATATTTCCAGGTGAAGAATGAAGGTGATGACTACGGATGGGGAGTGGTTGTTAATTTCTCTAAGAAATCAAATGTTAAGGTAAAATACACATTCTCTCCATTACCAAAATATATACCTGACTGTTTTTTCTGAAAATAAGATAAAACTCCTATTTATTTATACTTCTCAAAGGCAAAAAAATTTCCTTTTACCCCAAATTTACAAAAAGCTCTGAACTTCCTGAAGTGAAAGTGTAAAGAAATGAAGCTGTAGAGGATGAAGGAAACTCCAAGTCTGGTGTTCAGTTTTTAACTTTTAATATATTTGTGGAAGAAATGCTTGCTTGTACATACCACTGAAAACGTTTCAAACTAAGTTGTTTCCGAAATGTTGCCAGTGCTAATTTAAGCTGTTCATGAGAAAGATACTTTAATGTTTTCTCTCAGAAAATCTACAGAAGCCCTAAGAGAAGGCTGAGAACAGTGGGAGACTGACATTTAGCTCTATGAAGAAGGTTATCTTAAACTGGCAAACTTTGCTTTGAGTCCTAATTAGGACATGAAACAGGGAATAGCTTGTCCTCTGAGACGTTGCCATAAAGCTGGAAAATTAAAATACAAAGAGAGCAAAACAATAGAAATGGATCTGAGGACATTTGGAAGAAAAGACAGGGCAGTGATGCAATAGAAGCCAGACTTCCAGGAATGCATTTTCATAGTTGGTCTCTGTGTAACCCTTAGATGATATGTTGGTCTCCCTTTCAAAAATGTTTTGACCAGCTACTCAGCTCTGTAAATGAAAACCTAAGTTACAACCATATTCTTCTGTGATAGCATTTTGGCTGTAATTTTAGCAGAGCATTGGCCTTATTTGCTAGATCTAAATGCAAAGTTGTATCTGTTAAATTCTGGTGGTGCCTCTTCATTGTGGCACCTTTTGGTGCTTTTCTAACATATATTCACTAAAGAGGAAATGAGAAAAATGTGTTCATACAGAACTTATTAGAAGAGATTCTGTATTGTTTTCCATCTTCCTTTTGAAAATCATATTTCTTTCTTTTTTCAAGTTGAAAAACTGGGCTGTTACTGCTCTTGCTTAAATCTTTGGTTGTGGATTGCTTTTCACATAGAGACGCACAGCAATAAACCAGATTGTCCCCTAGTCCCAGCTTTCTCTGTGAAATTGCCAACTTCTGTGTCACTTGGAGGCACTTCTTCTATCTGTGTCATATTTTATTCACATATATATTTGCCTTCCCTATCTGGCCTGTCTCACTGTTATATAAACCTTTGGGCTTGAATATTAGCTTTGAAATTATGGACTGTTTTGCAAGAGATGGATGTGACTCCAGCAGCTCTTTTTTCATTAAGTTGTTCTAGCAGCTGGATTGAATTTTTCCTTCTGAGTGTGTGGATGGAAAGAATGACAATAGGTGCTGGGAATTAAGGAACAAATTTAAAGCTATGTAACTTCTAAAGTCAGTATGAAAGACTAGTTTCTGTGAGCAGAGGCAAAACAAATTACTTAAAGAAGTTATTGTTTACCCATTTTAGTGTCTGTTCAATGCATTTTTGTCCTGAGACACAGATGTCATTCCCCTTTACTAATTAAAGTATACAAGTATACTTATTTAGTACCAGAAAGATATTACTTATGCTGTATCTTTAGACCTTCATCTGCTTCTAAGAGCAGTTCTTTGGGTTTACTTTTAGGAATTATGTTGAATTCAGACTGTATCACTAGTTCAGTTGCAAAATTTTCTTTGCTATATCATAGTTCCTAAATCCTTTTTTAAGTGAGAAATCTGTACAATTAATAATGAATTTCAGGTTAAAGTATGTCTGTATTTCACATAATACTCCTTCTTCTTTGCACTGTGAAAGCAAATGCATGAGCTATGTCAATTATGTTTATTATTAATTATGTGTAGCTGCTTTTCCAATATGATTAGAAAAATCAGTGTTCCATGAAACTCTCAATACAAACAGCACTTTCCTGTTTACTGTTGTTCGGAATAGAATTTGTCTCAAGCAGAAATGCTTGCTATATATCCTGCGTTATAGTAGGCAGCACAATAACTATGTCCTTTGGAATTTATAAAACCCCATAAAAGTTTTTGAGTGAGAAATTTTATTTCCACTGGATTGTGTCACCAGTGAGCTTATGCTACTGTTGTGCTCTTGATGGTATTATTTCATCGCTGATTCTAGACATGAAATTTTTGTCTCTTAACAATTATTGATAGCAAAATTTGAGATGCTGCAGTTCTATCTTCCCTGTTTAGATTATTATAATCCTTTTATATTTATAATGTTTACTACATAAACATCTCTTTTAGTGCTGTGTCATGGTCATTGAATTTTCCGTAAGTTTGATATTACTTACCTGGGACTCTGAATTTGTTATTTGTTCTATCCTTCTTGGTTCTGGGGCACAATCATCCTTCTTATTTTGTTTTGTTTTCAAACACTTGAAGTAAGAGCTGTTTCAGGGCAAATCTAAAATCCTAAGAATTCAAATAATTCTTCAGTACTCTGCTCAAAAGGGCTTAATTTTGTTCTGTGAATTGATGCAGCATGAATTAAAGAATCATTTGAACTTGATATTACAGAGAAGTCTGTGGCTAACAATTGTTTTAAAGGTTCTAGTCTCCTCTTCTTCTTGCATATAGAAATGTCCATTGCTGTTCTAGGGTGTAGTGGTTTTTAGTACCTATACTGTTGTAAGAAATGCATGGAAGGAAACAGTACACGTTAAGAAAAGCAGTTGTAGATTGACTCACATCTAGGCAGCATTTTCTCAAGGATGTTGGTGTATATAAACTTAAGGAGAATAGTATTTGCAGCAGATGTTTATGATTTTTATACTCCTGCTTTACTAGTAAGTTTACAGTACAATCACAGGTAAAAATATTTTTTCCTCTCTTTTTAGACATTTTCTAGACATCTCTAATTCTGGTATTTTCTGTAGCACATTTGTGCAGCTATGAGTGAGCTTCATTCAAGTCAGCAGTACCTTTCCTGGCTTTGTCTGGATACTGATCTGGTAGATGTGGGTGTTTTAAAATTGTAATTTAGAGGGTGGCAGTGGTTTGGATCTCCTACATTGCTGTGAGTGCTTTCTGCAAATGTAGGATATAACTCAGAGGAACAGTTTCTTCCTCAGGAAATAATTGGCATTTCTTGAAGAAATAATTTAGCTTGTACAACAGGATAACTCTGTTTTTCTCCTTAGTTTATGATGGCACTTTCTTGTAGCACTTCTGAGAATATCTTAAAAATGCTAGCTGGCATGCAGTGAAATAAAATAGTATGTTGTAGATTTGTAATGAATAATATTGCCCAGTAAAAGTGAACTGAGTTAAGATGGGATTTTGAAAATAATGTTTTCTTTTCCTCTTGTATTTGGAAGCAAAAAGCTTACACATGGTACTTTAAAAGGTGATGTCTGCCTTTTGTGTTAGACCTATAACTTACTTCTGTTTGAAGTCCTAAAAATACTTGCTCATAGTAGGAGTGTATTTGAGCAGCCCTACTGCATGTTGATCCAAATAACTATTGCCAGTCTTTTTTAAAGCGGTGTGTAAAAAAGGTTATGGCCTTGTGAACAGTAGTCTTTAATCACCACATCTACATGTTTGTGTTCCTTAAATGAATGTCAGATGTTATGGATACAGTTTGGGTTGTGTAAAGATGCACCCTGCAAGACGCTGCTTTCTGTTTGCCACAGACACAAGCTGTTATGTTTGAAAGATTTTTCTGCGGTCTTTGTTGTGCATGAAAACTTCAACCTGCAAACCTGCAAATGAAAGAGATCCCCCAAATTTTGGTGGGTTTTTTCAAATGCAAAATTCAGTACTGCTAGCATGATGCAAATATGCATTACAGTTTTAAAGCATACTGACTTACTTCAAATGAGCTACATACAGGAGAAAATGCAGATGCAGCTGAAACTTCAATCAGACTTTAAGCTACTCTGGCAGTATGGAGGAGGGCAATTTTTTCAAGTGTGTTTTTCTGTGGGGGGATCTTCCAATCAGTTTACCAGAGTGTGGGTTTTGAGAATGACTGAGAATGAGCAACACTGAGCTGATACTCTGTAAGAGACATAGCTAATTTTGTACCTTTAATGTTGGAGAAATCATGTGTTTTTCATTCATTCCTGTTTGTATTTTAAAATAACTGCTACAGACCTGCTCTTTTTTTGTACCCTCAACAGCCAAATTCTGGTGAATTGGACCCATTGTATGTAGTCGAAGTGCTCCTGCACTGCAGCAAAGACAGTTTGAAAAATTCTGCTACTGAGTCTGCAAAGCCAGCCAGACCTGATGAGAGAGGAGAGATGCAGGTTTGTTACATGTTTTTATTCTCAGTAGTTCCTTATAAACTTTCCCAAATCTTCATTTCCAAACCATTTGCACACTGGTAAAAGAGGGTCTGATGCATTTAAGGAAGATAAAGAATCTGTACACCTAACTCTGCCTTCTTAATAAATTAAAGTAATCCATTTTTAGTAGTACTATTTGACAGATGCTTTTTTTTTAGCAATATCTTGTCTCTGGAACAGAATTCCTTTTTATTTATGAGAATTATTAGGACTGGAAAAGATTTTCGAGATCATTTAGTCCAACCCTTGAACGCCATCTTATCACTTACATTATAGCACAATGTGCCACATCCAGTTGTTTCTTGAACCCTTCCAGGGAAGGTGACTCCACCACCTCTCTGGACAGCTTTGCAAAACTCTCATTCTAAAAATAAATTGATTTTTTTTTTAAAGTGAAAATATTTGCACTATTTAAAATTTTCAAATTGAAACCCTTGATATTTCAAATATCAAGACAAACAGTTACACTGCCTTGTAATTTGTCTGCAGGTTTGTTCTCAGAAACTCCATTTAAACCTTGGAGTTTAATACAGTAGTGATTCTTCATGGTGTCATGATGGTTTTCATACTTAGGAAGATGTATTTTCTGTCTTGATGTTCTCTGCTGGTAGCATTCTTAGTTAAGTATATGACAATAATTGGTCTGGTTTGGATCAGAAGAGGTATTCCAATAAGTAAGATGCAAGGTAATAGAAAAGCTGCTGTTTTGTTTTCAGTTGTAGTCTTTCTCCACATGTAACTGCATTCAGAATTTTCCCATTTGGACAATTACTTTTCTTCTTTGTGAATACTTTAGGTTATTGGTCGCATTTTCCTGCTTTCTGATATTCCTTTACCCGCTACTGTGTTCTTGAGCACTGTCTTCCTTTTCCCTTGAAAAGGTTTTGCCATGGACCAATAATAAGAGGTATGTGTTTTACTGATTTATGAGTTACTACACTCTCTTTGATAGGTTGTTCCTGTTTTGGTGCATCTTGTCTCAGCTATCAGCAGTATCCGCCTCTACATACCAAAAGACCTGAGGCCTATTGATAACAGGCAAAGTGTGTTAAAATCTGTACTGGTAAGTTCCACTAGACTGTGTAAGTACTCTGCTCTGCTTAGTGAGGTACTCTTAAACCCAAGGCAACTTGTAAAGAAATTTGTGTAAAGTTTCTGTCACACCCTTATTCTTTAAAGGCGTTGGCAGCCACAATGTCAATTGTTTTTCCTTGTCAAGTAATTTTAAACAGATTTTGAAAACTCTTGAAACATCACATAACTTTAACATCACAGCCTCCTGTGTCTCTATAGTTATTCCAGCTTATTTTACTGTTACTTATCTTCCAAAAAAAAAACTTTTTCATCATTTTAGGAGGTACAGAGACGTTTTCCTGATGGAGTACCCTTACTAGATCCTATTGATGACATGGGCATCAAGGACCAAGGGTTGAAAAAAGTAATCCAAAAAATAGAGGCATTTGAGCATAGGATGTATTCACATCCTCTTCACAACGATCCAAACTTGGAAACCATATACAAACTTTGTGAAAAAAAAGCACAGGTAAAGATACAAACCAAATTACTTTGTGTTTAGTTACAGAGGGGGAGGGAGGTTGTCTTTCTACTTCCTTTTATTTTTATTTGCAAAGCCCAAATCAACTCTTTTAAATTTACTGAATCTCACTAACAAAATGGCTGAGTTGGTAGTATGCCCTTCCTTGGTACAAATGTACGTCTGAAAAGAAAGCTTCAGAGGAAATTTTCAAGAATTAGAAGGTTACAGGGGTCTTTTTCACTGATTAGACGTAGCACAATGCTGTGTAGGAAAAGTCTTCATAGATAATTTTGATTGATATTTTTAATACATTTGTGCAAACCTAAGTTGAATTGATGGGGATTATTAGCTTGAGTAGCGCACCAGAGAAATCATTGTGCTGCTGCTTCCTGAGCTGACTCTCAGCCTGGAAGCAATTACTTGTTTTGTATAGAGTTGTACTGTCTTAGGCTGAAATCAGTTATGCATAAAACCAGCTCTCATATTTTTCTGCTGCTTGGGAAAACAGGTTCTCCAGGAGCCACTTCACAGAAGTGAGGTGGTTCTGGAATGGGCAGCACAGAGTTGCCTGTGGTAAGACCTGATTGACTGAGCAGCTTCTTGTGAAGGTGTCTGCTGTAAGGATGTAGATGGTGACTGTGATGAACTGCAAGCCACTGGAGAAGTTCTAATAGCAGAAAATTATGCCTTTGGCTTACATTTCATTGAATAATTGGTTAGCTGAGACTTAGTATAGGTCTTAGAAGATGAGTGCTCACTTCTCAACAGAGAATTTTTTTGTCATTTAGTGTGGACTGATTTGGTTTGTTTCCCACTGTGGGTAAAAATAGCTTAACTTCCCAGGCTTACCAGAGATTTCAGTAGGTAAATGGAGCTGACTTTTTTACTATTATTATAAAATCAGTTTTAAACCTTCCTCTTAGAATTCTTAGGCAAGTCAACTCGTGAAATAGTATGTTCATATACCATTGTTCTGAGGCATTTATGTAAATTAAACAATGTCTTTAAAACAGTTGCGTCTGTTAAACCAGCAAGGTGTAATTCCTCTTCTTCTGACCCCCCACCCAGATTGCTATGGATATTAAAGTAGCAAAGCGAGAATTGAAGAAAGCCAGAACTGTCCTGCAAATGGATGAACTCAAATGCCGCAAGCGTGTTTTGAGAAGACTGGGGTTTGCCACGTCTTCAGATGTTATTGAGATGAAAGGACGGGTTGCTTGTGAAATCAGCAGGTAACTGGCTTCTGTGCAAGCTGTTCATTGTCGTGTATATACACACTATTGTCCTTGCTAAAATTAGTACATTATGTTTATATTTTAAAGTTTTGAGAAAACTAGAAAAGGATTCTTTAGAGACTCTGTTCTGTGTAATAAAGGTAATATGCTGATTCAAGCAGCATAAGTAAAGTAGCAACTTAAGGACAAAATACAATAGGTTTTAAAATTAAAATGTAGACATGAAAATGGCAAAACAATAGGCTTTTTGTGCCTGACTTGCTTAATAGCATGTGTTTTCACGTAATGTTGTACATTGCATGAGGGGAAGGTCTTGATTTCTGTGGTTGACATTGGACCAGGATTGTTGGTACAATCACTCAGAAATGAGTGTAGCAATGATTGTCAGCAGTTACCAAGTCACGGACAGGTTTGCAATAGAACGAAATTGCTTCCATAGGAATCTGTGAAGTGATGCATTTTACTGTAATACATTTATCAGGTACATATATATTGAAAAAGGTGAAAAAAATCATGAATCAGACTTTAATATCTTACAGTGTAACTCAGATTTTGACAGGATTTTGTATTTTTAAAAGTCACAGTGACTGCTGTACTCCTTGTCTTACAGGTAAGTTTATTTGATAGCTAATTGTCTTGCAAAATCTGATACCAAGTAGGGAAGCTGAATCTGAGTTTTATCTACTTCCTGACTGTCTGGAACGGTTTGAGTTACGCATCTCTCTTTTTAAAAAATCATACGTTTTTTTTCTCCCATCCTATGCATTTTTTTGATTACCCCAAAAATAGAGGCGTTTTATGCAAATAAGTATGTTTGGAGTTTGTATCTGCATCATGTAGTTACTTTTATAATTCATGATTAAGTCTTTATTCCTCAAGTAAGTTGAAGCAAGTTTGTTCCTTTCTTCAGTATTTTGGAAATATCCAATTGAATTTTTTCTAAGCAGCAACAGTACTAGTTTTAGTCCTTTTCTGAAGTTACCTAACTCCCTGGTTCTTTCTGATCTCTTGATATTCTGTCTGAGAGAAACTGACTAACTCAGCTATTCATACTAACTCATATGATCTGTCAGGAGTTTTATTGTAGTCCAGTAAGTGCTTTTAGTTTATTTGAAATACTGTTGCAGTCTCTTAATCATTAGCATTCTCCTTAAGAGGCTAGTACACTTGTCTGTGTGTATGTGTATTTTGTGTTCTGACAGTAAAATTAAGATGCTGGTTTTTTAATCCATATCCAGTTGCTTCAGAAAACAGATTATTAGTTCTTCATTTAAAAATTACATATCAGTAAGTCCTTCCCCTAAGGTTCATTCTTTTTGTTTTAGTGCTGATGAACTACTCCTGACGGAAATGATGTTCAATGGTCTCTTCAATGATTTGTCTGCAGAGCAGGCAACTGCACTACTCAGCTGTTTCGTGTTTCAAGAGAATGTGAGTTACTTCTTCAGTTCAAGAACTCTAGACATTCCTGTCTTCTAACAATACTGTTTTTAATTCAGTTGCAGAAATTGGTCATAATAGTATGAGCCATTGCACATTTTTGATTGCTTCCTAAGATGTTTGACATGAACTCCTGTTGAACTTGGCGAAAACATTTCAGCTTCAATGCTAAAGTCTCTTTCCTCAAGAGACACTCCAAAGGTTGTGTTAAATTGCAGTCTTCCTCCTGCAATGAAGCAGTATCATTAGATTGTCAGCATGTGCTGCTATTAATACACACATACCCCTCCATATAACTGAAAATGTAGAATGATCATCTCAGGAAGATGCTCAGCAATAACTGCACCCTGCACTCTAGGATGAGCATATATTTAATCCTCAGTCATGTCTGTGTTACGTTACATGGTCAGTACCCTTGACTATTGATTGAAATGGCAGTACCATATGGAATTGATGCCCAGAAGGCTGTTAAAATCAGACCATATGTTTTTAAAAGCATGGGCATTTAATACCAGATGTTACTGCTTTCCACCTGCAAGCCGTATAAAAGGGTAGTATCACCCCAGAAAATTAGTAAAAATAAACTTCCATATGAAACACTTTTGCAAGCAGGTAGCAAGATGTAACACTCAGGGTGATTCTAAATATGGAAAAACCAGTGGCAGCAGATGCTAATGCATTCAGTTTGTTTTTAGAAGGGAAACCAAGGTAAGCCATTGTTAATTAGAATATTGGGATTCACTCAACAATAGTACTTGAGTCTAAACAGCTAGGGCATAATGATAATCCTGTATTTTGAAAAGCCATATTTTCATATATTGCCACTGATGCTTAAGTTATTAAAAACATTTTGTATTCTTAAAAGCTTGTAATTGTCGAAGTAGTTAATAGCAGTTCATTTGTCAGTTGAAAACTATGATACAGCGAAATAGAGGGAATTTTGGAAGTATCCAGAAAGCAGGTGCCGCATAATGTTGGTATACTGTACAGAAAGATTTTGTTTTCTGGTCTAGTTTGAGGAACAAACATTCGGGGAATTCAGTAATTTAATATTTGGCACTCAATATGTTTGAGAATTTATTGGAATAATGTAGAGTGGCAGTATGATGCATTGAACTTCTGCTTTTACATTTAATTTGGTATAGAGCAAATGTATGGGAGCACTTGAGATTGTTTATTATTTTCTTTTTCAGTCCAGTGAAATGCCCAAACTGACTGAACAGTTGGCAGGACCACTTCGGCAAATGCAGGTAATTAGAAATCTGAGCTCAAGGTTAATGTTAACACAAGCAAAGCTCATAAGTAATGTATAATAAGTGTGAAGACCTAATTTTGCACCATCAGTGAATTCAGCTGGCACTGCATGTGATTTTGCAATGTGTAATTAATAATACGTTATATGGTGTGCAAGAAATCTTTATGCTAATTTAGAACATGCCTCTAAAAGTTTTATAAGCTTGCTTGCTGCACTGTAGATTCTTAGTGTAGGCAGACTTCATGTAAAGAGTGGTTTACTTTCTGATTATGAGTAATTTCACACTAAAAAGAAAACTTCATCCTGTAATGCAGTACCTAATAATGTGCATGTCTTTTTGTCACTTAAATTCTTAACTCTGGTTAAGTATAATATAAATACAAAATATTTTATTTTAAAGGAGTGTGCAAAAAGAATCGCCAAAGTGTCAGCAGAAGCAAAACTGGAAACTGATGAAGAAAATTACTTGAATTCTTTCAGACCCAACCTAATGGATGTTGTGTATACATGGGCAAATGGAGCTAACTTTGCTCACATCTGCAAAATGACAGATGTCTTTGAAGGTACGCTAATCAATTGTTCTTTAGAAGGTATGAGTTGATAATTCCACAACAGGGAGTGGTAATACTGAATAACCTTATTGTAAACTCAGATGTATTCAAGCATCTGTATGGCTAAAATCAAGTGGGGAAAAGTTCTTTACTATATATTTAAATTTATACTTACACACTGATGATTATTTAGAATCTAGATTCCCTTTTTAAAGGGATATCTCTGTATTCTAAAAACTTTCTATAAAACTCAGAAATTCTAAGCATTACAACAAAAGGTAATGCTTACTTTTTCTAGTTAAAGGGAAAAACAACATGTTCCAAATGCTTGTCATCAGGAAGTACAGGTCTTGCATTTGTCCTCATTATAGTTAAGTTTTTTTTTCTTTGGTATAACCAGTTCTTCCTGCTGACTTAATGATAACAGAAGTGAAAAGTGCCAAGAACCAAGTCTCTCTTTTGAATAGTTTTGCACAGAAGTGCAATGGAGATAGTTGCAAAGCCTAGATATAACGTGTCAGGTGGATTAATTTGGTTCCTAGAGGTTGTCAAACAAGAACAGTCAACACTGAAGGTCAGGCCAGAATGAAAAACCAGCCTGTTGGAAGTTGTGAAGAGCAGGGTGGATGCACCACTCTTAGGAGTCTTCCTTTTTGAAGTTGTGTCACTGTTGCCTCCCTCAAATGCTGTTTTCTTCTTCGCAAAGGTTTGCAGATTCCCTTATAACAAGGGAATTCATGCACATAATTAATGCATGTAATCCAATGCATAGACCCAGGAATTTTCTGAAGAAAGTTGCTTTTGAGCAGTACAAATCCTGGCAGTCTTTGCTTCTGCAATCAGTAGATTCCTCCTATTTCAATGAGTATCTGAGCCTTCCGTTTGCTATGGAAGCACCCTGAGTATGTGGAACATTGAAGCAGCTGGCTTATGTTTTACATTGACACTTTAATGTTCAGAATACACTGGGCAGTAACATTTTCCATTTACCATATTTGTACTAAGACAGTCAGCTTTGTTCTACTCAATAGTGCCAGCTTCCTCAAAATGAGATCTAGTGGCCTGTTTTGAGGTCATGTCTTTTAACAGGGGTTAATGCATGATTCTTCCCTTAACTTTCAGTAGGCTGGTTTTCTGTGCTTTCTGTCCCTATCCAAAATGAAGGGAAGCACTTCAGGCATCCATTGTTGGTTATGTGTGCCTTAAATGGATTGTGTTCCTAAATCCCAGAGTAGTTTTCCTTGGTTATCCAAGCAACTGCAGTGATTTAAAAGAAAATCAGAATACAAAATAAGCCTAAGTGTTCCAAGAACAAGTGTGTTTGCCACAAAGTGGAGTAGCCTTGATTTGCCTATGAAAATACCTTGTCTTTAAGCTGAAATATGTGGTGGGGAGAAATAAGAGCAGCTTTTAAAAGCCATTAGGGAAAAACGCTAAACAGAGTTAAATGTCTTATGTGTTAACTGCAGACCAGCTCCTGCTTTATGGAAGCATAAACAATAATAATTCATTTTAAAATTGCAGTTTTCTTGAACATAAAACTATGTGTGCAGCAAGCCCAGCTACGGTGCCTGTAACGAGTGCTCCCTGGAACGGCTGTCGCGGTTGGCCTTGTAAATGGAGACAAGCAGGATCTTTGACAGCTGAGCCAGGGCTGCCCAGTGCAGCACTGCCATGCTCGGGGCAGCTGCCCTCAGGGCGCTTGTGTTGGTGTGTGCTCTGTGCTCAGTAGCCTGTGGGTGGGCTTTTCCATCTCCTATCATTGCAACAGGTTTTACAAACTGCTGCTCTTACACAAACTGTTCTCATTGTAGAAACTGTCATGGCCTAGTGAGCCCCTATGAATGCTTTTTAGAAGAGAAGCATTAACTTTATCACGTCCCACTTTCCCAGGAGCTATGAACAATGCTCTTTTCATACTGTTTTTTTTTCCCCAAATATTATATCTTAAGGGGTAGTAAAAAGGTTGTAGAAACCAAACCCCCTCCAGTGAGCAGAGACTCAGATCTTCCCCTAGATTTGGTTGCTCAGAGCCCCATCCAACATGACCTTGAATGTTTACATGTATTGAAAGGTCACAATAAGGTCTCCCTGGAGCCTTCTCTTCTCTAGGCTGAACAACCCCAACTCTCTCAGCCTGTCCTCAAAGGAGACCTGTTCCATCTCTGATCATCCTGGTGGCCCTCCTCTGGACTCGCTCCAACAGGTTGATGTCCTTCCTGTGCTGGGGACCCCAGAGCTGGATGCAGCACTGCAGGTGGGGTCTCATGAGAGCAGAGAGGCAGAATCACCTCTCTTGCCCCGCTGGCCACACTGCTTTGGATATAATTGGCTTTCTGGGCTGCAGGTGCACATTGCTGGGTCATATAGCCTGTCATCCAGCAGCACCCCCAAGTCCCTCTCAGCAGGGCTGCTCTCAAGCCCTTCATCCCATATTTACCCATTAACAGTTATTTTGCCTACAGTAATTTTGACTGTCGGAGATGCTGCTGGAGGAGATCAGGACCAAACAGGATGCTGTTTGCTTGTGGCCAGAAGAGCAGAAGCATTTAGAGTTGTTTTGTGAAATTTGTAGCAGTGACTTGGGCTGAGCTGTGAGGAAAGTTCAAAAAGGGGATAAATGCATAATAAATCACAAGTGGGTATTGGTTGCAGTGTAGGAGCTGTGGCAAGATGCTTATGTGTGTCATTATAACCATGCAATGGCTTGGTGGAGTGGTCCATGGACTCTTGAGTAGCTCAGGATTGGTAAGATAGATCACTTACTGTTTTATTACTGCCTTTGCCAAGAAAAGAACTAAGGCTTATAAAAAACAATCCCAAAATAAACCTGTGGTAGTTCTTGAAGCAGCTAAGTTGTGAATCTCCTACTGGTCTATGCTTTTTGAGGAAGTCTTAACAAGTTATTGAAAGAAAAAGTCGGCTAGGAATTACTCAACAGCCCAGAAAGTAGTGTGATTAAATATTAGTTAGAGAATGTAAAGACAGTAGAAAGGACAAGCATTTGGAAACAGCTTCAAGCAAATGCCTCACAAAGACATTTACTGTGCAAACAGAAACTAAGTTTAAGATATTTGGCTTCTAGATAAATTGAACAGAGTTGTAGAAGGAACAATTACTTTGAGCAATTCAGGACCAGTTACATGATGTGGCACAATGTTGTCCCTTGCTCTTTCATACAGGTAGCATAATTCGTTGCATGAGGCGGCTAGAAGAACTGCTTCGGCAGATGTGCCAGGCTGCAAAAGCCATTGGGAACACAGAACTGGAAAATAAGTTTGCAGAGGGTATGTACTTCACTTTCACAGTACATTAAGCAATTTTAGAAGGAAAAGTGATGGGGCAAGGGGCTGCACAGATTGTGAGGACTGAAGGTGAATAGTTTTGAAATGCGAACTTCTCATGTTGACATCGTGGTAAACAGCACCATTGCTGTTGTATTGCCAGATAACATCTTTATTGCAAAGTTTGATTTAAAGGGTGGCTAAGAATGGATGTACAGTGACTTCCATTTAATAACCTGTAACATGCTTATAACTGTACTTTAGTGGTTGTTACAGTTAAGACTCTTCAATATTAATATTTTTTTTCCTTCTTAATAGGGATTACAAAAATCAAGAGAGATATTGTGTTTGCTGCAAGCCTTTACCTGTAACAGCAGATGTCTTCCAGAAACTATACTGACATGATGGAACAAATTCATCAGTGTCACATGTGGCTTCCATATCAAGTAATTCCTTTTAATGGTGTTTACTTAAACCACAGTTGATTCAACAAGGCATGTACAAACAGCAGTGTATGTAATATAACTTGTTACAGTTTTCAATAAAAATTTACAATTATAATAGCTTTCTTTTAAGCAAGAGCTTGAACCAACAGAAATTTAAAGTTTAGATGTACAATAACTGTGGTAGATGTTACTATATACAGGTAAAGTGAGCATCCAAGAGCAGCAGCAGTCCCTTAAAGGCAATTACTTATATTACAGAGTTAGACTTGTGAAATTGTTTTCATTCAGAGCAATATAGTTGATATGGGTCATTCTTCATGGTTGATGATTGCTGCCAAAGTGATTTCCATTTGTTGGAGTCTCATGTAGGGTTGTATGGGAATCTTCTTTTGGTTGAAATGTACATCCTCTCACTTTGAAGAAGTCTGACACATAGACAACCTAAGTGAACAAATTAGTGTTAAGCGTTAATCAGTGTTAAATTATTCCTGCACTCACAAGTCTTTGAAACAAGGTTCTGCAGCAGGCAAATTCTATGATTGGAACTAATAAAAATTTTAATCAGTTAAAAACATTTTATGGCAGGGAAGTCTTGTACAAGATTCAGACATCTGTTCTTTCAATAGCTTTTTCACCTTGCCATTGACCATTTAGTCACTGATGGTTTAAGCCAAATTCAAGGCTTGTGCTAACTGACTGCCTTACCAGGCACTGCTTCATTACAACAGCCATAGTTTGAACAGCTCTAAATGAAGGAGCAAAATGTGCTTTTGGAGGGCCCACAATGCAAGTTTAGTTAAATTTTTTTTCTGTAATTTAGGTGGAAAAGAACAGGAGACATGGTGCTTTAGCTGGACCCAGCATCTGTAAGGCCAGCTCTACCTATGTAGTTCCTTCCTGCAGTCTTTTAAACATACCACCTCACTTCTTCACAGCTAGGAGACATCTCCCTCACTACAAGACAGGTGGTTGATCCAGTTCTGCAGCTTGCTGTCTTCCACTACTCATTTCACCAAGTCCCATAGCAGATGTGCTGGGCACAGTGCTACCTGGAGTGCAATAAGTGAGAGCCTCACATGATCCTTTCCCTTACTGTATTGTGTCTTCCCCTCCCACTGCAACCCCGAGAACTGCAGAACACTTGAATGTCCATGGCAGAAGAAACAATCTCCCACCACGCTGGCAGCTGGCTGATGATCCAGCACACTGCTTTAGCCACAGACCAGGGGAGTTTCAGCTTCCACTTAATGCCAGATTCCCTCAGTTCAATTTAGTGATGATCTGTTTGTAGTTGCTGTGCTGCTATGCTCTAACCTCAGCTTGCTGGTTTTGGAGAGGAACTCATCGGTTCTTTCAGATAAGAGTCTGAGGGTGGTGGTTGGTGCTAGTGTATATTTTTTAAAATAATTTCCTGACCTTTCAACTCTACTCTCTGTAATGCTACTTTCTACTCTTTCTTGTATTACCAAGCACCTTCTGAATCATCCAACATCCTTGACTAAACTTGTTTTCCTAATAAAAGTGTCCTCACCTCTTTGATGTTTCTTACTCTCTGAACTGTTTCTTAGAAAAAGGGGTAGGATTATGCCAACATGTTGCCATTTAGTAACAGCTAATGCAGCCTGTATGATTTCCCAGAGCTGCTCCAAGATTTGATTATTGATTGCAACTAGTAGACAGCTGTCTTGAGCCCTTCTGACCTGAGAAAGCTGACAAAGCATTTATTTTGGAGGTTGTTCTTCCCAGCTGAGCCTCAGTTCTTGATAACTGAATCTGTCAGTAAGACCTCAATTCCCATTGATCCAAAATTATGTATGGATGAATTAGCCATTGCATTCTGGTGATACCCAGTATAATTGTTGTCACTCAGACAACCAGGCCTGCTGTGACAAGTTTAGGCAAGTGTCTGTTTCCTGGGATAACTTTATACTCATCAGTACAGCTGAGCTTCACATGTTTGTTCCTTGTTGTGAACACATTTTTAGTACTAGGAATGCACACAAGAAATGGTGCAGAAGGGCTTTAGTTTCCCATCAGACTGAAAAAACACTGTGTAAGGTGGCAAAGGCAGACACTTTGGTGCTGTACTCATTCAAGGCCTTTTCCCCCGTTTACTGTATAAAACTTACTTTATATTATGTTCTCTGCTGTTGTACTTGGGATTTCAAATGTGGCTAGAAGCAAAACGCTTGATTTATATAGAGAGGCCTTGGTTTGCAGTTACCATTTCCATCTTAGTTATTTGAAAAGCTCTTGAGCAGAGGCTATGTCATATTGTCCAATGGCTAAAACTACCATTTATCTCACTCCCCAAAGTACTACTGCTGCAACCAGTTCAAGGAGTTGTTTCCCTGTTTCAGCAATTTCTGAAGCGTTAGAAATACAGGTTTGCTTTCCTGTGAACACAGCCTGCAATTCTAAGGTGCTGTTCATAAAAACAGCATTCACACCCACCCACCCCCTCAGGAATTACTTACAATGAGCACAGCTACTACTGCACCCTGGATAAGTCCTGTTAAAACATCACTCCAGTGATGCTTGTAGTCAGAAACACGTGAGAGACCCACGTAGATAGATGCAGCAATAAGACCAAACTGTAAAGTAGGACGTACAAGTCTTGCCCAGTCTCCTTTCATTCTTGCCTGAAGATAAAGCTGAAAGAAAAAGAGAAATTAGTTACAAAATGCAGAAAGCACAGATGCAGTAAAATTGTGTTGGGTCTTTTCAAAGAGTTAATTGAAATTTTACTGAAGTAATATTCACAGCTGTTCTAGGTGCTATAGTTGTACTTTTAAGGCTGCCAAGGCAGGGTTTGATAGTTTTGGACTTTAATTTATATATAAAACCATCATATTGTTCCATTTGTACCAATATGACAAATGAGTATTTTCAGGATAAAGGTGCTGGTAATACTAGAGCCACTTAAGGCTTAAAAAGAATCCAGTGGAAGTCAAACCAGTATTTTACTCCTGCATGAACTACATGTAAGCCTTATACACAAAATAGTTTACATTTACTATTCATAGAGCTGACAAGTTTTTAAACTTCATTCTCAGTTCCAGTCACCTTTAGTATTATCAGCTTTTAGCATAGCATTATAGCTGTAGCTAAGTATCAGAACTAACTTGATGTAATGATGGCATTTCTCCGTTGTCACTGGTATATTTCACTGAGCTGTGTTCCTCACCCTTTTCAGCTGCCTATTAACCATTCTACCACTCTGGTGGATATTTCAAGTTCCCATGTATTTTCCCTCCCCTCAGGTCTGCTTTTGTTGTGTATATCTGTGGTTTTGATGTATTATCTAAATTTTGCAGTATTATTTCCTATCTAATCTAATCCAAGACCCCAGCTCTGTTTCTTCTGTGGTCTGTCTAGGATCTGTCTGTCTACATCTGTCTAGCTCTCTAGTTTCTCCAAATACATTCTGTAAACATAATTGAATTTATTCTGAAACTTAATCCTATCACCAAAGAAAGCACCATAGTTACTGCATTCACCGACAAAACAATACATTCGGAAGTTATATTTAACATTTCAAGTATATCTTCACAGAGACACTTAGAAACTTCAGGCCAAGAACAAAACCTCAGCTGACAGTCTTGAGTAATGTAGAAACCAACACACAAGCATCAGGCACCAAGGCAGCACTGGTGCCTGACGGTAAAACCCTCCACTGCCAACTTCAAAAGCCATGGCTAACCTTGAGAAGCAGTACATTTACCATGTAAATACAGGCACAGAGAAGACACTGTAGATGCAGAGGTGATACTTTCCAAAGTTAAACATTTGGGGAATGTTTCTTTTAGTAACTTACATCATAATTTTGGCATGCTGACATTTTCAGCTATAAATGGAGCATCAAAAACATCAACCCTATCCATAAACAGTTTTCTTTAATAGCAAGGTCAGGGTAGAATCAGCCTCTAAAGAAGCTACATCTAAGACTAAACTGAAATAAATTTTTCCCCTTCAAATTGGTGGGCACTGCATATTTCTGTGGGCCTCAAACTCACCACTAGGGAAAATACAGTTTAGCCACTTCAGAAGTTATCTGTCACACCAAGTTCTTTTAACAAAAGGTGTTTTAATGGACTTACTGTGATAGTACCTCTGGATTTACCAACAGTAGACCAGAACACTACAAAGTGCCCGATGGAGCAGAGGAAGGTCCCAGGAGCATATGCTGGTAGCCTGAAGAGCTGGCTGATGATTTAATACTAGCTGTACTTCACTCTTTCCCTATTCCCACTAAATTTTCCTGAAGGCAGTTAAAATACCTTGCTGCAATGAAGTTTTTTTCCATATAAACATTTTTGGAAGTTTGCAAAGGGTGTATAGCCGTAGTAGGGAAAAAAAGGGTTATGCAACCTTTTTGCAGATATGTGAGAAAATAGGTTTACCTATGAACACAAGAAGAAAATGGGGCAAGGCATGCAAATGCCAGCTCAGTGCACTGAATGACCAATAAAGCAATCTTTGGCCTTAGGCAAATTCTTTCTGCTTGAAAAAGCATCAGACAAGAAATTTGGA